TGCGCGCGCATAAATTTGCGCGCGCGTTTGTGTTCGTAATGGTCTTACGCAACCCAGAATCGCCTTTTTTGTCTATCATAGTATTGCCCATTTTATTCCGAACAATTTGATACCATGTTTATCTCTTTATGACCATTAATAACGAAATGAGCGTCAGTTTAAGGTAAACGTCTGTGCGTGCGAGCTCTTGTAATACATAGCATATATGGGCAAAAACATGCCTATACGAAATACATTATTAACTGTATAGAAAAAAATATTATGGCTCGATCTGAAAAGTCAACGGCAAAATACGTGTGAAACTAGTGAGCAATAATTGACCCAGTTGTACATTTCATCGCGCACCAGCTGCTGGTGACAATGACAATGTATATTACGTGTATAACAAAATGCGCACTATGCCCGAACTCCATTGTGACGTAACAATCACACCCTAGGCAAACTGATTGCAGTGTATCGAAAATTCGTCAGCATATTTTTGGAAAATTGATTGTATTTCTGTAAATGTTGATTAATATTCTTCCAAATTTTGATATGTTTTAGCTGAGACAATTTTCAACAAATGTCGTTGCCACGATTTTTCATTTTGACAAAAGCATCACGGCGTATTTTTGCGATTAAAGGAGGCATGTCAATTTTTCACATTTTGCGTGTATTCTCTATGGGACATGACTTTTTCTAAAATCTGGATTCTACATTCCTCTCTTTTGCGAGCAATATATCGACATTATTTCTGCTTGGATTATGTTGATTTTCGAGTATGTTGTAGCTGAGACTATATGTTATCTAAATCACCCCCACATTCTTCCAATAGGATTCGAGGATCACGCTCATGATCATCATCATTGTCTTAATGATGATGATTCTTGTCTCTCGCGAGCAATATCTCCGTCGTTTTATTTTCGTTTACGCTGAGCTTTGAGTATGTTGTAGCTGAGACAATGAGCTATCACAAGTGTGCCATTTATTTCTCGATCAGATGCCGGGATCATGCTCATATTTCACTTACAAAGTGGGATTTGAGAAATCAATCTTTCTTTTACGTGTACTCTCTATGGGAAATGTTTTAGTCTACCGGTAATGCACTTGACTTCCGACCTCGAGGTCCCTGGTTCGAGTCTGGGCGTCTCCAACAATTTTTTTCTTCACTTTTTTTTGGACCTTTTACTGTACCATCTCCTTTGAATATTAAAACACGTACAATCGCAAATAATGTAATAAACAACCATATTTACTTTATTATTACCCTATTATCACTTGATCCATTACTTTTTGCGAGCAATATCGCCGTTATTTCAGCTTGATTTTTGTTGATTTTTAAGTATGTTGTAGCTGAGACTATATGCTATATAAATATCCCCTCACTTTTTTTGCAATCAGATGTCAAGATCACGCTCATGATCATCATCATCATCATTTTCATTATCGTCATCATGACAATCATGATCATGATCAAGTAGTTAATTTCTCAATACTTTGTGTCATATTCATTAGGCCTACTTATTTTGATATTTTTTCCCATTAAATTTAATCACGATCATCAACAATCATTATAATTTCTAAATATTTCGTTCATCAGTTTAGCTCATCAGTTTAGTTCAGTTCATAAGTTTATCCGTTTAGCTCATGAATTCAGTTCATTTCACATCAGTTTAATCTATCAGTTCATCAGTTCATCAGTACTTCATGAAGACAGACCACCTAATTCGTCCCCATGACGAATTAAATTTCTAGTTCTTTATTTATTTTTATTTATTCCGTACACTTTTTTTGTGTATACGTTTACTCGAACTCGACCTGGTCAATTTCCTTCAAATTTCTGCTAGTCATCAGGCCCTATGATATGAAGTTCCCGAAACCTTTTTCAAGTTCATGGGGTCATCGTGACGTCATCCAGGCGCCATTTTGTAAAAATCAGGTCATTATCATATCTCAATAACGAGTAATCAAAAATAAACCATATTTAGTATACATCAACTTCCGGTCAAAGGTCAACTAAAAATGTCAACAAAATCCGTGCGCGCACCTCGACGCGCACGTACGCCCGCTTAAAATTTTTAAAATGCTCCAATTCGTCCCAAATTTTGTTTGCACACGTTTCAGGTCATTTTAAGCATTTCAAAATTTTCCGTCCGTAAGTGTCCCCGCGCGCGTTGCGCGCGCTCACAGCGCGCGTAAAAAGTCAAATTTAATTTTTTTTACATGATTTAGATTCCTCTTACCGTAAATGACAATTTACATTAATTTCAGTCACTCTTGACCTTTCATAAGGCCGTGAGCGCGCGTCAAAGTTCAAAATCCGCGCGTGCTGCTATGGGCAATATAATGCAAATTTGATCAAAAACATGCCATTTTAAAAATCAAAATAGCTCTTCAGATAGTCCATTGACCCCCAATTTTTATATCATGGTTGGAAAAAGCATGAGTTGGAGATATGAATTCATGTCTCATTTGATCCTCAATTAACTCATGACGTCATCATAATGGCCTCCGAACTCAAAATTTCAATTTGCATATTATGACGTCAGCAGATTTCTGGAAAATAGACTGTATCTCTGTCAATATTGATCAATTTTCTTTCAAATTTTGATATGATCTAGCTGAGACAATTGTCTACAAATGCAGTCACCACGATTTTTCATTTTGACAAAGGCATCATGGCGTATTTTTGCGATTAAAGGAGGCATGTCAATTTTTCACATTTTGCGTGTATTCTCTATGGGACATGACTTTTTCTCAAAACTGGATTCTACATCCTGTCTTTTGCGAGCAATATCTCCGTCGTTTTAGCTTTGTTTACGCTGAACTTTGAGTATGTTGTAGCTGAGACAATAAGCTATCACAAGTGTGCCCTTTATTTTTCGATCAGATGCCGGGATCATGCTCATATTTCAATTACAAAGTGGGATTTGTGCATTCCATTTTCCGTTTACGTGTAATCTCTATGGGAAATGTTTTGGTATATCGGTAACGCACTTGACTTCCGACCTCGAGGTCCCTGGTTCGAGTCCGGGCGTCTCCAACAATTTTTTTTTCTTCACTTTTTTTTCTTTTTGACCATTCACTCTACCATCTCCTTTGAATATTAAAACACGTACAATCGCAAATAATGTAATAAACAACCATATTTACTTTATTATTACCCTATTATCACTAGATCCATTACTTTTTGCGTGTAATCCTTATGGGAGATGACTTTTTCTCAAATCTGGATTCTACATTCTTGTCTTTTGCGCGCAATATCGCCGTCATTTCGGCTTGATTTTTGTTGATTTTTGAGTATGTTGTAGCTGAGACTATATACTATCTAAATGTTCTCTCATTTTTTTCAGTCTGATGTCATCGTGGTCTGTTGATGATAATCATCAACATCATCATGATCATCATCATCATCATCGTCATCCCCATTACTATCAAGATCATCATCATCATCATGATCATCATTGTTTACATGTCTATATAAACTTCTCCCTTTCTCAATATAGTAAATATTATAATACATCATAAGACTTGAAGACAGACCACCTAATTCGTCCCCATGACGAATTAAATTTCTAGTTATTATTTATTTTTATTTCTTCCCGTTTTTTGTTTATCGGTTAACTCAAGATCGGTTGTGTTAATTTCTTTCAATTTTGACACAGTCATAGGTCATTGTCATGAGACGTGACAGGAACATTTTCAAGGTCATCAGATTATCGTGACGTCATCCAGGCGCCATTTTGTGAAATCACGATATCCATCATATCTTCGTGATCCATAAGCAAAGGTCATTCATATTCATATCACATATACTTCAGGTTAAGGGTCATCAAGTCATGTCATCAAAGGTCACATAAAGGTCATGACGCGCACGTACGCGCGCGTCAAAATTTAAAAATGCTCAAAATCACTTAACTATTAAAGGAGAGTACGAATCAGGTCATTTTAAGCATTTCAAAATTTTCCGTCCGTAAGTGTCACCGCGCGCGTTGCGCGCGCTCATAACGCGCGGAAATGGTCAAATTCAAATTGTTTACATGATTTAGATTCCTCTTACCGTAAATGACAATTTACATTAATTTCAGTCACTCTTGACCTTTCATAAGGCCGTGAGCGCGCGTCAAAGTTCAAAATCTGCGCGTGCTGCTATGGGCAATATAATGCAAATTTGATCAAAAACATCCCATTTTAAAAATCAAAATAGCTCTTCAGATAGTCAATTGACCCCAATTTTATATCATGGTTAGAAAAAGCATGAGTTGGAGATATGATTTCATGTCTCATTTGACCCTCAATTAACTCATGACGTCATCATAATGGCCTCCGAACTCAAAATTTCAATTTGCATATTATGACGTCAGCATATTTTTGTAAAATTGATTGTATCTCTGTAAATATTGATTAATTTTCTTCCAAATTTTGATATGTTCTACCTGAGAATATTGTCTACAAATACAGTCACCACGATATTTCATTTTGACAAGGGCATCATGGCGTATTTTTGCGATTAAAGCAGGCATGTCAATTTTTCACATTTTGCGTGTATTCTCTATGAGACATGACTTTTTCTCAAAACTGGATTCTACATTCTCGTCTTTCGCGAGCAATATCTCCATCGTTTTATCTTTGTTTATGCTGAGCTTTGAGTATGATGTAGCTGAGAGAATAAGCTATCACAAGTGTGACCTTTATTTTTCGATCAGATGCCGGGATCATGCTCATATTTCACTTATAAAGTGGGATTTGTGAATTCTATTTTCCGTTTACGTGTAATCTTTATGGGAAATGTTTTGGCATATCGGTAACGCACTTGACTTCCGACCTCGAGGTCCCTGGTTCGAGTCCGGGAGTCTCCAACAATTTTTTTTTCTTCTTTTTTGACTTTTCAATGTTCATAAAATTGAAAACAGACCACCTAATTCGTCCCCATGACGAATTAAATTTCTAGTTTGATATTGATAATGAAGCTAATATCAGAAACGAGATACGTTAGGTCTGTAACGGAAAATTGTACTTACTACTGAAGCCATGTTAGAAGGTTCGTTGACTCGAATGCTTTGAATCTAGTGAAGTATCGAAGAATAATGAGTGAATGATGAAACAAATCATTTAACCTCCTTTTATAGGATCTAAAAAAATAACATTTGTGATGAGAGCGGGTCAATTCATGCAAATTGAGACAAACTTTTTTATGAAAACAATTTACCTTTGGTTAATTTAACTGTAATCTCGTTGTTCATTATCAACTAATTTAAGCTGTCATTTTGTATTTCATTAGTAAACAGTTAAACTGTCATTTCAAAATTCAAATCACCGATTAACCATGAAGCAATGACAGCTGAAGGATATAAGGCGATGATAATAACCATATCTAGCTATTGACGTCCATAATGAATAATTAAGGATTTTCTATAAACACAAGAATCGCTTGATTGGCACGGTAATTGCTTCACCGATTTCGTCAACACTGTTATATTATGACGTTGGCTGATAAGTTATACGTAATAGCTATCACTGAAGGTGAAATGATATTGAATACATGTAATTAACTGTTGTACATAGCAACCAAGGTTTTTGTAAGGGAAAAATATCAACCTAAATGAAACATATTATGATATTGATAATAAAATTAATGGAAATTAAAAACATAGTAATATGATGATTATAGTAAAAATATTGATATCGATAAAATGATATCAACAATATTACTAAAATGTTAATAATAATATCAACAGTAATACCAATGATAATTATGATATTTATTATGAAGATAATATATGGTGTAATGGGGGGGGGGGGGTGGACAGTCGGTCGTACTACGTTGATGAAATGCAATCGGAACAACAGTCCAGCAGGGGAAGTAAGAGTGATTTTTTTTGTAATTATTCCAATGACCTTTTAAAGGATACAAATAAGTTGTTTATTTGCTGATATTAATTAAGAATAAAACTACTATCTCTTTTTGAAGCATTTATCATCATGAATTGGTTATTGTCGGGAGTAAAATAGTACATAATGTAATAACAAGAACATTTGGGGTTTGGGGGTTTACTGTTAAACCTGTAAGTCTGTACCCTCAGCCATGCCTTGAACCATAATGCATGACCCTGCAGAAGAATTTTTCCTGTTGGGGGCCGGGGGAAAATGCAATGAATTTTTGAAAAATTATTGCATTTTTTTCGTTTTGGGGGATTTGTGGAAGGGGCCGCGTACCCTAGCAAACACTGCGTACAGTCATGATTCAGGGGCTAAGCAATGGCCTCGTTACTGTGAGGCCCCAGGATAAAAATCGTGTCGATTAGCTATATACTAGTGCCCTTTTGTGAGGCATTAATCCTCATTACTGTCAATTATGACTTAAGGACGTAGGTCCCTTAGCTGATTAGCATAGTAGCACACATATGATTAAGCAGTCATGCAAAACAAACACTCGCAAATTAGTATTCAATAAAATCTGAGAATGTATGCCATTATCTAGATCTATTAGAAATAAATAATTTTTACAAATCCTTCCCTAAACTGGGGTAAAAATAAATATTCCACCATTATGACCAACAGTGTACGTACCCGCTGGCGGACGGTGCTAGCTGCCTATTGACACCAACAGAATACGGCTCTTACGCAGATGGCATGTTCCGAATGCCCGGACAACGCCGATTATGTGCCGAAGTAATGCCAATCGCAGTTCGGCTCTAAGATTCGGCTGCTGTTTCCGCCCACTTTCGTGACGTCGCGATCGTCAGCGATCAGCTGGCTTGGCGAAGGCAGGCCAGGCCGCGCGTACTTTGATTGACAGCTGTATGCAAATTAGAAGTCGATCTTCGGAACCAAGATGGCGATGACTAGAGCAGCAATAACTACACTGGCGGGAACGTGCCACTTTAACTGTCACGTCCAATTAAATCTATTTACGATATTTTTGAACAAAATGCTTGCTCAAAGGTTCGTTCAATTAAGCGTAGACGTCATTTTTGGTGGAGACTGTTATTCAAACTATACTTCAGTCATTCAATATAGAGTTTCGAGCATGGGAATTTACCTTATTTTTCATCCAAATTCATTCTGTCTAGTGCGTGTGCCAATATTCGTTCAAATACGACGGTAATTGTCGAAAGGTGAACTCGGGCATTCGAGCTCACGAATGGGCAGTCAATTTCGTAACATGTTCATTCAAATTAAGATTAAGATGTTGTTTATATAGGCCCTATCATTTTTCTAATTTCTGAAAATTAAATAATGTAGATTAATTTTGTTTCATTGTCGATATCAGATGCACTTTCGACAAGGCAGGCTTAAGGAAGACTTTTATATGTTTTGATTTCCCGTTTTTCTTCACTTCTTATACTGTAATAACTACGTTAGATCAATTGCCTCAAAATTCTCCTCCCCCTAATTAAAAACAAAAAAAACTAACCTTTTGGGGGGCAAGAATTGACGTTGTGCTCATGGTGGGCGTCATTCGAGGATGGACATTTATCTCGATTTTTTCACGGGGTGCACGGCAAAGTATCAGTCGTGTATACATGTAGCAAGTTTTATGAGTTTATTGTTATCATGTTTATGCCACTTGATAAAGTCTGAGTGTGTTTTTTGTAATGAACTTATTAAAATAATAATGAAAAAACACTTTATCCAAGAGAAATAAAATGAATGAATCAATCGATACATAAATACAGCATAATATTTCCAAGACCAAAATCGTTATTATTACTTTCATGTTTTAATACTAAATTTATTTCAATAATTATCGGCTTTTGCTTGAAAACTGCCATCCCTGCCTTCTCTATTCTTCAACTTATAATTAAACTGATTAATTCCCATGTAAAACTTTACAATACAAACGTAACATTCGATTTCTGCATACATTGTCACATCCTCAGTTAACATACAACGTCTGTATAATATTGTTTTATTAAAGCTTGCCTCTCTTCTTAAATGGATATTGACCCCCCCCCCTCTCTCTCTCTCTCTCTCTCTCTCTCCCGCCCACTCTTTCTCTATTTATCTCCCTCTGTATGTTTGTCTCTCCCAACTCTCTATGTATGTCTGTATGTCTGTCTCTTTTTGTCTCTCTCTCTCTCTCTGTATCTGGTTGAACGACAGATGATCCGCGTAACACTGACCTCATCATAAATACAACGCTGGACCAACCCTACACCTTACCATAACCTTAACCCTAACCCTAAACCCAATAGCAACCTTAGCCACAAGTGACCCTATCTTTGAAGAAAAAAAGTCAGTGCAGTTTTTTTGTACTCATGTTTTTATTGGACGTCAAAAAACAGAAACATGCAGCACGAGGATAACAAATAACGATGTACTATTGTCGCCAGAGCGTGGGAGCGCATCCTCATCATTTCTCTCTCTTTCATGATACCACCTCTTCTCTCTCTCTCTCTCTCTCTTTTCTCTCTGTGTGCGTTTATTGGGTCTTGCCACTAGATATGTACATATCGTACCCCACTATCATACCCCACTATCGAACCCCACTATACGAAAGTGATTTGCGGGATGTCGCGTTTATTGTCTTGTGTCTGCGCAGCTGTTTTGACCCGGGATGCAGACAGTTTCTCGGAGGTCAACTACATACACATGTTTGTACACAACACATGGCGCGCGCTAGCCTCCGAACCGGAAATTAACCTGGGTGGTCCGATTTGTATGTGCGGTTCAAAACAGCTTTGCGTTTATCATCTCTCAGAAACGTGATTCTGGCTGTATGTCACATACAAAACACACCTTTTTGCGTCTTTAGATATGCCCATATCTAAAGACCTTTAAAAAAGGCTTTGCGTTCATCACCTTCTAAATTTGCCTGAAAGACGTTTGAGAAACCTGATTCTAGCCAAAAAGTTGGTCAATAAACGCAACCTCTATCTCTCTCACACTCGCTTTGTCTCTCTTTCTTTCTCTATCTCTCCCCTCTCTCCTGTTCTCTCTCTTTCTATCTCGCTCTCATCCTCCCCCTCTCTCTTTATTGTCCATACCATCTCCCCTTCTCTTCCTACCTGTCTCCTCTTCCTTTTTTTCTTTAACGACCCTCTCCTATCGCTTCGTTGTCTTTTCTCTAGTTTTGTCCCATCTCATGGCATGCTTCAATCCTCTCTTCCAAATCATTCTGCCATATCGGCCTGGTCGTAGCACAACTAAAGTCTTGACGATCAAAAAGTATATATTCACGACAGTTCTTTCCTTTGGTTAGAAATTTATTTAACAAGAATTAGTATGCCCTCATATTAGTCAAAGACTTTAGTTTAAAAGTTTGCTGTTATTAACAAGTTATTAAAATCAAACCAAATCAAGAAAGAACAAAATTAGTATGTTCATCAAAATAAAAAACAATAATATCTGCCATCAACTTATAATACAAATAATACCTATTCAGAACAGGACACTACTCTGTATAAAGCATGTTGTAAGTACGCAAATCTACTTTGTATAAAGAACAAACTAAAGTCAACACAGATTGTAAATTAGCCAGAAAAGTATTTGAAATTAACTGAAATAGATTACGATTAGTATTAAAGTATTAGATCATAAATAGATACCAGATATATATCAAAGATTGGTGAACCATAGAACGATTAATTCGAAACTCCTAATTTGGGTCTGAGAAAATGAAATGATCCTAAATACTAAATAATCTACAAAAAAAAAAAAAAATATTGATGTAAGTAAATTCAAGTTTTAAATGCCATCATAGATGCCTATTATAAATGTAAGATAAGAAAGAATAAGTTTATCATCTTAGTTTGCTAGGAGCTGTTTATCACTTTGTTTTATATTACATTAGAATTAAGAATTTAGAATTGTATTGACTCTTTGACCCCCTCTCGGGGTATGGGAGTACAAACAAACATTAAAGTATAAAAAGCAATGCATACAATTCTTATACATTATACATACTGTAGATAATGACACATAGGTACAAACGATAATAGGTATATAGGGGATGAAAGTACTAACGTGAACAATGTAACCAACTAGTAAATACAATATATACATACAATGTAGATAGTAACAATTGATAATAGAATGTATAATGCAGTCTATTTACTAGCTAAAGAGTAAACAAAG